CGAAACACGTGAAACGGGCGAGCCTAACGCTACCTACAATTTGCCATTCTATTTTCGTCATAAAACAGAGACGTATTCGCGCATCCGCGCTAGAACCGTTTCCGTGACGAAACAGTCGGAACCGTTTAATTTAGAAAATAACCTCCGTCCGATCGTATTGGAATTTCCACGAGAGAATTTTAACGTAAACCAGATCTCCGAAATCTACTTCGACAATTCGTCGTTTATACACCGGAACTTTCCTCCTCATACCTCTATCCTTGTCATTTTTCATCGATATTCCATATAATGTAACATGTCGTCGAATCGTATGTGTATTTTCGTTGTTATCGCGTCACTTTGTGTGTTTCGATGCAAGATCTTCATCCAACCGCGATATCTCTTGCACTTTTCAAGTATGAGGGCGCACGCTGTTAGAACTTTGTACTATCGATAGATCGTGGTCGTAAGGTCGCTTCGTGCGAGTGAATAATATTGTCTGCCTGCATGGAAATCTGTAGCGGAAGGAAGACGGTGTTTCGTGCGACAAAGAGGTTATAGTGTTACGAGAAAGACAGCCGGTAATATAGAGAGGGAAATCAGAGAACAAAGAGGGAGGCATCGGGCAGAAAACGAGAGACGATAGGACAAAACGGGAGAGGACTCAGCGAGGGAAATGAAGTGAGATGGAGATTTCATAGAGTGGGGAATCGGATGGACTGTACGCGTCCGGAACGCGATAAGTCGACCGGTGGTTGAGCAGCGCGCATTTTCATATCGCCCGTTTCTCGTGCCGCGACTGGACACTGTCCACTCAGGTGGCACGAGTCGTTCCGTCATCTCCACTTTTCTCTCTCTCTGCCTCCCTCCATTCGCTTTCTCATTCACCGCGAGGGTGGTATATTCATCTTCATTCACAATAGGACGTTCCCGTCGAACCTCGGGTATCACGCGATGTCGCCTAAGAATAAGGTACGTATACATTTTCTTACATTCTATCTACGGGGGAATAGTTTCTGTGAAAGATTTTTTATTACCCCGTCGTGTGTGTTCCTCTTATTCGCTACTGACTAGTACATGTCGCTTAGTTTTAGTTAGAACCGTGTATATGTCGAGATTGTTGAATCGAGATATAGTTCAAGTTCGAGTACGTTTACGATTAATCGATATATATTTTAGTGTAAATTATTAATTGCAACTATACCCTGTATGTGTTTAATTGTCGAATTTCAACGGAATATATCACAGCACGTGATTCGGTTCGATCTTTCTGTCAACTGGTCGATTTAACGAAAATTCGATTCAATTCGATAGCGATAGATCGGTGAACGAACGCGGTGGGCGTGTTTTTCGTTCGCGCGTGTGCGGTAAATTTTAGTTGCGAATTCTCGTCGCAATTCTGTCGTGCAAATATCCTGTTCTCGATCGTAATTTACAGTAGATTACGGGGAATTTTAAGGTAAATGACAAAATACACCTCGCGATTAGATTAATTGCGGAACGCGCGGGTGAAAGTGGTCTGTGTGGAAGTTAGCCAGGAACGGTGATAATGCGCGGTCGTTTATGGACCCGTCGATATATTGCCGGCAACGTTGCAAAGGACTGATTTTACGAACGAAATTCTAATGATTTAGGGTGTAGTCGCGAATGTTATTTTTTGGACAATGTTCGCGGGATAGGCTGTATCACGTGCCAGTTTACAATAGATTGGTGTCGAGTCGTAGATTAAGATGTATTTTATTACGCGTGAGCATCTTATCTTTTGAGTGTTTGTTGAATTCGTTATCGTTCTATATCGATGTCGAGTATTTCCCTTATCCTCAAGCTATTCGGTCGTATGTTAGGTCGATATAAGTAGGAATACGTGTCCATGAATTCAATTGCTTCTTTCGAAGGTCCTCTTAAACAAACGTACTCGAACGCAAGCAAATTGGCCTCGATAATTGATAGACGAATTTTCGGCCACCTAACCTCTCTATCGAAATGTATAATCAACGAGATCGATGAACCTGGCCGAGACAACGGATCTCCACGATAATAGGTGGAACAAATAAACGATTGCTCATCGTGATTAGGATCGTTGGTGAATTTTCTTAATTCCCGCAGACCGATTAACTTCGATTAGCTAAGATCACATACGACGTTTGCAATATCAGTAATCTATCGCTGATTCGAAACATGACTACCGAACGACAATTCTACCATCTTTAATCTTTTCGACAAACTGTCTTCGATTTATCGATCGATCGACTTATCGCGATACGAGAAATAGGCGTGAACAAAAGCCGAAAAATATCGACGTGGCGGATTTCGGTAAGGTTATAATTTCAAGTGTTACACGCAGCAGACAATGTGATTCATCGAAACAGCGGGAACATTGCTCTTCCTTTGCCGATTATTATGTGTGCACGCGGCGTTTTATCGCGACTCCCGGTACATATCTCATGATCCTAAGCAAACTAGGACAACGAAGAAGGCATGCTAACGCCGTCATAAACAATGGTTCGTTGCGAATCAGGAAAATATCGCCTCTCCCATTTGTATTCTCTGAGTCATTTTGTGTGGCGTCTCCACCGCCGACCATTTCCAGGAATACGAGAACCAGATGTTCCTTACGATTTGTTGCAAATTATTGATCTCGTTCGCGTTTCTGCACACTCAGCTCGTATCGCTTCGTTGAAAATATAAATGAGGAAGGCTGACAGCGTCCCTCTACTGGTTCGTACGGTTATCTCCAGCTCTGTAACTAAGACCCAGTTCGAGACCGAGAAATAAACAGTGTTTCGTCAATTATCGCGAATTGTCTACTCGCTCGGTAACTCGTACCGTACGCTCGCCTCTGGCAGCTAATTTTTCCACGGAGATGAGAAGCAGATGGTGTTTTCATGTGCCGTGCCTTCGGCACTAATTGTCGCTGGTTATTATCTAATTAATTCATAAGCGTGCTCGGGCCGGAGTATTACTACAGTGGAACGAGAGCGTGTTGCAGTTAGTAGCTTGTCGCGTGATCGACGTTACATACCACCAGTGGTACCATTCTCCGGTTATACCTATATCCCTTTTATCGCTGCTGATTCTTTGAGTGTTTCCACCACTGTTGTACACACGACTCGAGATCATCTTCAGAATGTTTGCTTAGCGCCCCCCGGTCGTCTCTCCCCGCGTCGCGTCGCGCCCCCCTCATCGCCATCTTTCGTCCGTAATTCGATCGTCCCGTGATTTTCGTTAGAGACAATCGTCGTTAGATGGCTATCGATTAACCGCAATTCCATGTACCGTCGGTAATCACGATAATACGATACATATTTCGGTAAGCTCATCGCGTGCAACATCGATTTTTCCATGGCGGTTCAAGCGCATCGACTTTGGGCTATATTAATGTGAGCGTCACGCTATCCGTATACCACAGGATGACCACCTTGCGATGCATTTCCCCGTTTGATTATTCGACCGTTCGATCTTGAACGCGACATCCTGAAGCCGGTAGAGACTGACGCATCATCAAGAACTGTCACTTTCTTTGTGAAGTACGAGCGTTGCCAGCAAATATTTGTTCGGTGAGGTAACGTTTCGAAACGGCTAAAAATTGCATAAACTTCGAGGTGTAGAGGCGGGATTCATCTCTCATTTTTTTTGGCGACTTTTGGAACGGGGGAAAAAAAAGAAACGGAAAGAAGGAAGGAAGGAAAACGTTATACTACAGGTACATCAGACTTAATGGCTTACGCGGAACAACATGTTGATATGTTAAATGTAAGTTAGAGCTGCTGCTACTGTTACTGCTGCACGTTTAGAGTAAATAACTTGTCGATCTCTCTGCACTAGCACGCCAGATCAATGTGAATCATCCACATTGAACATAGTCGAGTGACATTGAGCTGCTGCGTGTCGGTCACTCGGCGCAATTCCTCCCGTAATGCACAAAGTAACCCTTCAAATGACCATTGATTCCGTCGAACGAACACGAACAGACGGCGAAAAGGTTTTTGGCCTTGCGTGGAGCACAATGTTACGAAGCTAGTATTTATTTTCGTGCTCTTTTGCCGAGCAGCCCTGCCATGACTTTCCGAATTGGACGCAACGTCGGTCGGGTTTTTTTTCACTGACACATGATTTAATTTCGCATTCAGTCATCGTTATTACGAGTCCGCTGTTTCTCACTAAAACGGTGAGGTTAAGGTGAACTTTTTTTTTTGTGGAAAAAAAAATTTAAGACTTGGGTTATGTTAGACTTTGCTTTACGATCGGAGATCATTCGTAAGTGTATTTGATTTATAGCAGTTTCTGGAAATTTTAAATTTTGAAATTTTTTTTGCTCTTGAAAAATTTTTTTTTACGTGTTCGTTCGAAAAGAAACGTTAGCACCGTTACAAACCGAGGGATACGTTTGAACTGTTTACATCATGATCCAAGCTTCTTAATACTTTATAGCTTTCGTTTATGTAACACTTTCGTAAGGTCGCAAATCATTTTAAGTGAATCCAGTCTGTATCAAAAACCTTTTGAGTATATTAACATACGGGTCTATGGAAACGACCATTGAGAACTCTCGAATTAATTTTTCTCTCTCGTGTTGTCTATCCTTTTCTGTCTAGCGCCGACGTTGTAATTATAATCGCATTTTAATTACAATAAACTCCAGACGGGAAAAGTGTATTCGTTTGAAAACTCAAGGCGTCTTTCGGAATATCATGGTCGATGCAAATTCACGTATCGTCTGTTTGTCGCGCCACGTAATTGCGGCAGGGTGGGGACGCGTGTGCGACGCCTCGCATTTATAGGTTAACTTTTCGCGCACTGGCGATCAGTGCCGCTTCAACGAGAGCTCCGTGCTCTCTCGTTGTTGCAAGCATTTCTTTTGTTCAGCGGTTACTTAAATTCTCGTGGAGGGCCCGTGTGCTGTTCAGTCGTTGGTGCACGTTTGATTCATATCCAGAACAGTTAGTGGATAAACATAGAGTTTATGTTCATGCACGCGTTTCGTAGTCTAGCCAAAACTACACACCGTTTGTATTTATTGACACATCGTAGCGCGGTGGTTCTGTTCGTCGACTATTATTCTTGCACCGCACAAAGATCATTCTCAAACACAATGACAGAAGAGGGAAGAAGATCGAGAACAAAGTAACTTTGTTCGAGGAAGCTCGAGGAAGAAGGCCTATACCACGGTGTTTGCGTATAAATAGAATCTCCTTGGTGCGCAGCAATACGCAGCAGTTATACGTTCAGCCAGCGGCCAATCTTTTCTGCCGGCAATGTTGTCATGACAATTCGCGCGTGTCGTATCGTTTTACGAGGTGTGCAGTGTCGCTTCTCTCGTGTGCATCAAATGTCTCGTGGCTGGATCTCGTCGATGATCTAAGGCTGCTTGGGACGCGTCATCGTGCGCTTATATGTACGTGCATTCATGGTGTCCGTTACCGTGAACAACAACCATTAAGTGCACCAGTGATTCTCTCGATTCTTCACGAACTTGCATTTTTCGTAAGAAGGGTGTCCTCATTGTACATTTTGTATTCGGTGTAGTCAATCCCCTTTTGGCTTCGCGATGGTAGTGCAATAGAAGTTGTCACGAGGCGCGCGAGTGCGATAGTCATGGCAGCGGATTTTGACGAGTGATATTTTCTATACTCCTGTCAATTGCGAACAGGGGGAGTTTTAAGACGCGCAGAAGTGGCGTAAGCGTGGCGAACGTTGTGGGATAAAGTCACGGGAAGAAAGAACATAGAGCGCGCGCAGCTGCGCGCACTTCAACGAAAATAGAACTCTGCACAGTGTGTGGAGGCCAACGGTGGAACGAGCGGAGTGTGACATTAAGGCGATCGTAGAATGTCGCGCGTGTCGCTCAACAAGTCGCAGTACAGCCAATACGGCTCGCGTCGCGTGCGAAAGATCAGCACGGTACGTTTCGAAGATTCATGGATTTTGGTTTGGTATAACCGCGTGGCGTGTACGCTAGCCCCCTTGGCTTAACGTTCCTTGGTGAATCCGATTTGCTTCAAGTTCTCTCAGGCTCTCTCTCTCCCTCATTCTGGTTGGTTCTGCTTCGTTGCTTCGATTCGATTCGATTCGGTTCGGAGACGACACATGACTTAGCCTTGACAATCAATGTAATTTACACTTTTGTAGAAGTTTTGCAACGAACACGAAACGAGTACGATTACACATCATATCGTATATGTATACGCATCTGAACACGGTCGTGTACCACTGCATACCTGTGTGCACAAGTTTCGCACTCGTTTCTTACATTTGCGAATGTGACACCGATCGCCACGAAAACAAGGTCGAAAACAATACTCTCTTCAAGCTTCGTTCGCCTTGACGTTAGGTGGCGCACGTCTTGCCGATTCTAATGACAGTGGATCAGCTGATCGAGCTGACCTTCCATTCGGCTAAATCACCATCACGTCCACCAATGCGTTCGTATGCGTTACCGCTACATTTAAATTCGTTTAATGCGTCGCCATTCGAGGTCATTGGCTTGGAGGACTCCTTCCCTCGAAAATAAAATGTCCGCAAAACGAGTCCCTCGCGGATCTTTCCTTTTAGGAACACACATAACAGATTCCAATTGCCAGACGAATAAAATAATACCCTCTTTAAGAGATTTTTTTTCACTTACCAATCTTTCGATTTTCAGACTTATAAGACCGAGATGCAGGATCAGATTTTGTTAAGTATGGTCGCCTTATCGCGTGATCAATATCGCTTCCTCTTTATTAGATTCAGTGGAAACGTTACTTTACCTTGGATAAACGTAGCCTTAGGGACTGGTTAAGTCACAGTAACCATATAATATCTATGCTTGCGTTTGCGTTATGAGATCATCTTATAATACGGCGCTGCTGTTCGTTCTCACGTTACGCTCAGAAAGCCATCTTCCGCAATAGCGTTTGCGTCAATTTATTTCATTTCAGCGTGCTAATTTCATCAAATTTCTGGAAACTCGTTTGTTAATAAACAAGATCGTACATTTAAATATACACAATTCCCTGAAATCTTCGTCAATTCTCATCTAACAATCTGTTAATTAATCATCCATAGTTGTATTGAGATCTATCATATATCTATGTATTTATGCATTGGCATGAAAGGAAGCTTTTTCTTGCAGTATCCAAGGTGAACTGCCACTACTTTACTCAAGGCAAACACAACTATCAATGTTATAATGCAACAAGATCTTAAAACGAATGTTCAAATTTTCTAATAAAGATGATTTACAGAATGGTCTATATATGATTCAATTCAATATGTTTGACTTTCTATGATCCCCATGTTACTCTTAAATTTATGCAAATGCTCATTTTTTTTTACAGACGGAAAGTGAATATTCTGTAGAAGAACATGCAAGACTAACCAACACTGATGGAGGAGGTGATGAAGCATCTCCAGAAGATGAAGGGGGGTCACTATGCGAATACCATAACATACCACCACCACCTGATGGTGGCTATGGTTGGGTGGTGGTATTCGCATCATTCATGTGTAACATGATAGTAGATGGTATTGCTTATACATTTGGTGTTTTTCTGGGGGAATTTGTTACCTATTTTGGAGAAGGAAAAGGCAAAACTGCATGGGTTGGCTCATTGTTATCTGGCATGTACCTCAGTGCTGGTAAGTTGCTTTATTATAATTACCAGTCCCTTCAAGTTATAGCAACAACTTAGTTAGTTTCAATGTTTCAATCATTTTTCAGGACCTGTTGTCAGTGCTTTAACAAATAAGTATGGGTGTAGAGCAGTGTGTATGGCAGGAAGTTTTTTAGGTGCAGCAGCATTTGTACTTTCAACATGTTCAACCAGTGTAAATATGCTTATGCTGACATATGGTGTTATGGGAGGTGTGTTCATTTCACTGAATTATCATGTGATTTATTTACTTTCATTTTTATCACTTCAAAATAATTGGCCCGTTTTTTTCAGGAATTGGATTTGGTCTAATATATTTACCAGCAGTAGTTTGTGTAAGTTATTATTTTGAAACCAAAAGATCTCTAGCTACAGGCATTGCTGTGTGTGGCTCAGGATTTGGCACCTTTGCATTTGCACCTCTTGCAACAATGTTGCTTGAAGCATACAGTTGGAAAGGTGCAAATTTAATTCTTGCTGGCCTTATTCTAAATTGTGCTGTGTTTGGTGCAATGATGAGGCCACTGGAATATCCAAAAGCTTCTTCTGTTAAACCATTACTGCAAAGAATGGCAGAAGAAAAAAGATTTCAAATGGAACGTGGGAGTATTGGAGGCTCTTACTTCATGGTGCAACTGCCTGATGGATCTATGGAGAAGAGAATGAAAATGCCTATTAATATTGATCCTGGTGTACACTCCAGCTTCAATTTAGACCAATTAGTGCCTGGTAAGGAAATCTAAGTTAATGTCAGTTGTGTATACAGCGTATAAATACGATGTATTATAATGTACTTCATTAAATTAAAATATTAAAGGAACTCCTTTAACACCAGTTCCAACGGTGCCAACCCTCCCCACTATATCGGAAGTGAAAGTACAAGAACACTCCTCCAGCGGAGCGACTAGTAATAGTGGCAGTATGGACTTGAAGAATATCTCCACCAAATCAAGGAGCAAGAAAAATATCGACGATACCAAAGATACAATGGAAAAGTCTGAAAGCGAGTTTAAACCAATAATGCCTAGAAATGCTTCACAACCTGCTTTTACAACCCACGTGCAAGGTTTACCGAAAAACGGCTCTGTACCCTTCTTTGATAGAATCCGCAAAACTAGCACTGGCGAGAGGTACAAACCAAGCCTCAGTGCGATTAAGAACTCCCGAACAACATTGAATTCTAATGGCGATATTAGAAAGAGTCTACATTTGAGACTTTCAACAAGCAGCGTTATGGGCTCTCGAAACAATAACGCGGAAGTGGATGTACGTGTTTTACCGTGTACTCTTGAACATGTATTTAATTGTTAATTGTGTTGCACAATGTATTATTAACGATACGTTTTACAGGATGGGGAAAGTATTACTTTTACCACCAGTAAATCTAGTATTCCGAAGGAGAAACCACAAATCATTCGACCTCTATCGAGAAAGGACATTTTTTACAGCGGCAGTGTAGTCAACTTACCAGAATATCAGAGTCAAAAATCCCTTGCAAATTACCGTCAAAGTGTTATTTCTTTATCAAAATCCGTTCGTGGAGATATCAAGGATACCGATGTCGAGAAGGCGCCCCAACGTAAGCGATATTTCAATGGCAAGAATGACTTGTTAATTTTTTGCTAAATTATAATAAATGTTACAGAACCATTATGTCCCTGTTTGGTGTTACCTGAATCATTTAAAGAGGCTTTGGCAACCATGATGGATGTATCTTTGCTGAAGGATCCAGTATTTCTCTTAATTGGTATCAGTAATGTATTTGGAATGGCTGGATTGTATGTCCCTTTTGTGTATTTGCTAGATGCTGCGGTTTTGAATGTAAGTAAAAAATTATAATATATTCTCTTGACGAAACGCTCTTTGTCGTATAATGACTGTTCTAAATTCATGCCGTTTTCAGGGAATTGACAGAAGTGCTGCGTCATATTTTGTATCTATAATTGGAATTACTAACACTATGGGTCGTGTGGCTTGTGGATATATCGCAGATTTCCCACAGGTCAATTCTTTGCTATTGAATAATATCTGTTTAATTATATCAACAATTGCTGTAGCTGCAACTCCGTTTTGCAATTCGTATGCAGCCTATATTGTCATGAGTATATTTTTTGGCATCGCTATATGTAAGTAAACAAATTAATAACTTTCACCGTTTGTCGCTTGCGGTTATTACAGTCCCTATTACACATTTACTTTCGTATTATTTCAGCTGGGTACATTTCTCTGACCTCCATCATTCTGGTAGATCTCCTAGGACTGGAGAAATTGACCAATGCATTTGGTCTTCTAATTTTATTCAGAGGAGCTGCCGCCATTGTCGGTTCGCCTTTAGCAGGTGCTGTTTACGATGCAACGCAGAGCTATAACATCCCATTCTTTATGGCAGGATTTTTCTTTTTTATGAGCACGATTACCAGTTTCATGGCTCCAGCGATGAAACGGTGCACAACGCCGCAGGTACGTATGGCACATAGCACGATGTTATTTTTGTTTCCAATAATTTACATTAACGAGCAAAAATAAATAATCTTTTACAGACTCAGCCTGTGATATTAGATACATTGACTCCAATTGACGAAGACATTGAAGAAGAGAACGAGGAAGATATCCCTGAAATTGTAGAAACTGCGCCATCTCCGCAAGAACCACCAGAGAAGGAAATTAAGCAAATAGAGTCTGTTTTATAAAAAGTCTGGTCCGCTTAAGGAGAGAGAGAAATAGCCTTCACCT